GACCACCTACTGCACTGGGCTCTGGGTGTGGCAGGGCACACAGCAGGCATAATGCAGCCCTTGCCATCACCAAGCTCAGAGCCTAGTACAGATCTATGCACACACATCATGATGACAAAGGCCACAAGTATCAAGTGAGGGATAGCACAAGTGGACAGGCCACTGTAAGCAGCTGGGCCATGAAGGAAGAGACTGACCACTGGAGAAGTCTTCCAGGCAGGAATAGCAAGATAGGCCTTGGGTGTTCAAAGATTTGAACACTCCTGCCCAGCTGGGGCATGGTGAACAGGGGCAATGCTCTGGCTGGGGGACAAGGCAACAGGCGCAAAGTAACAATGGCCATGCCAAGGCACTGCTCCCCACCTCTCCATGAATTGCATCTTTCCATCCGGAGAATATCCCTGAGGAGGAAGGTTCACCCACCACCCCCATCAAAAGTGAAAAGGTAAGGCTCAGGGGTTCCAGTAACTAGCCAGGGTCACACAGACAGAAGTAATGGCACCACAATGCCCATGGATGATATCTAGCTCTGGAACCCCCAGACTCCACACACAGCACCCCACCAAAGACAAGACTCCACATGGCTGGTGACCTGACATCAGCCAAAGTTCATCAGGCTCCTCCTCTTACCTGCCCCTGCACAATAGCCTTCAGCAGAGCCAACACTGCATGTCGGGCCTCTGGTGGCCGCTCTGGCTGCAACAGGTCTGCGACAGCCTTCCAGAGTGCTTCCACTGCATGCTGCCACCAGCAAAGAGAGGATAGTGGTAAGGGTGTGGTCTTCAAGAACCCTGGCCCCTCGATACAAGGACATGACTAACCAAAGGACAGAGCAGAACAATGGGGTCTTCTGACTTAGAACCAGTTCCTCAGCAGCCTGCAATGACACAGGTCTCAGTGCCACTTAAAACCCAAACAGGTCCCTTTAACCAGCCCCAGCTGAAGGCTGGGGAGGAGAACAACAGGCAAGCCAGGAGAGCAGTCTTGGCTTTTCTAAGACTGGGAAAGAGTCTGCTGTAAAGCTGCTCAGACTCTGAAAGAGAGGGTTGGGAAGTCTCTGAATCAGATGTACAGGGCAAGGCCTGGGCCTGTACCTTACCCAGAAACCCTGGCCCATGGCTTTCCTCTTTGTGAACCCACCAGCTGTGGGCCACTGAAGATGCTAAGGAAGAACTCTGCATAGCCTTCTGAAGTCTGCTTTCTCACAATTTCCACCAGCTGTGGGGAACTGATTCCTGCTTCCCGGAGCCACTCAGATTCAGTCTTATTTGACAAGCACTTGAGCTGGCTCTTGCATCAACTTTCACTCCTTTCAACCAGGGTTAACATACCACTCACTTTCCTGGGCCTCCTCCTTTTAGGAGTGGGGCTTAAAATGGTAATGGTCTCCTAGATGTTAAGATTTGCTGGAACCCTCCTCTCCTGTGTTGCATTTACAAGATTCCTACTGATACAACCTGAGGAGCAATGAAGACACTGAGCCTGTGAACCATCCCATCTCTTATAGGTCTGCTTATCTATCGGCATAGCATTCCATACCTACAAGGGCAAGGTTCTCAACTTGGAGCCTGTTTTTCACATTGCTCCTTGGTGACACGCAGCTTGCATACTTCAGGTGAACTGCTAAAGACATAGTAGCCACTTAGGAGTGAGTCACCTCCTGAGTCTCACACACAAACGCTGGGCAAGGCAAGGAGGAGCTCTAAAGTGCTCTACATCAACCCTATCCCCTAGAAAGACAATTGCCACTCTGCCCACAAGACAACATGAGACTAGAAATGACTGTCAAAAATACACATGCTGGGTGGGGGATTTAGCTTAGAGGTGCTGTGCCTACCTAGCAGGTGCAAGGTCCTGAGTTCGATCCCCAGTAACAGGAAAAAAAAACACCACATGCTGTGTCTCTTCTGTGAGGCTGCCTTATGCCACCAACCAGTCACATAACCCAAGCAGGCCCAAGACCAAGGTGCCATGAAGCAGCCTCTATGAAACCACACCCCCTCTTGGCATCCCATCATCCCCTCAGCCCAAATGTGCAACAAGAGGATATGCTTCTACACAAAGAAAACTCAAGGCTTCTATTTTTCCTTCTCTAAACTCAAGGCTTTCTTTTTTTGATACCGGGGATCAAACTCAGGACCTTGCACTTGTGAGGCAGGCACGGCACCACTGAGCTAAATCCCTGGCCCATCTCTAAACTGAAGGTTTTTAAATGGTATCTCTCTAAGACAAACCTACCTCTTCAAATTTCTTAGTTTTTGCAACTTCACAGATCTGCCCTATCATCCGGATGCGATTGTTGAGGCCACATTCAACACTCAGTTCCTAGAGTGAAAAGAAGAAAAAGGGGCCAGTACTCAGATGACAGGTTTCCCTAATTCCAACCACAAACCATCCTACAAACTGTTCTGCATTTTCCAGACTAAAGCTCTTTAACAGATCTTATGAATGAAAATTTGTCAAAGAGCTCTTAGCAGACTAACAATGGGCAAGGTATTTTTTTTCATACCTGCAAAGTTTGAGATAAAACTCACTTAACGTGAAATACATCAGAGATTTTAAGCTATGCCTTTCAGAGTTTAAAATATTCACAATCCTTACAACATCTCCAATTCCAGAGTATTTTCATCACCCCCAAAGGAAATCACACAGCAATTCCTTCCTCTATTCAGCCCTGGCAACCACTGATTTGCTTTCTGTCTCTCTGGATTTGCCTATTCTGGTCATTTCCTTTTTTTTTTGTACCGAGGATCGAACTCAGGTCCTTGCGCTTGCGAGGCAGGCGGTGGAACCACTGAGCTAAATCCCCGGCAAAATTTTTTCTTTTTTGGTACTGGGGATCGAACTCGGGACCTTGCGCTTTCAAGGCAAGATGCAGAACCACTGAGCTAAATCCTCAGCCCTCTGGTCATTTCATATAAACAGACTTGTGCATTATGGGGACCTCTATGACTAGCTTCTTTCACTTAGCGCATTTTTAATGTTCATTCCCATTGTACCATGTGTCAGCAGTTCATTGTTTATATTACTGAATCATATCTCATCATCGTCATCAGGTGATAAGCATTTTGGGTGTTTCTAAATTGGAAATTTCAGGGCTAGGGATATAGCCTAGCAGTGCCTTGCCTGCATGGCAAGCACAAGGTCCTTAGTTTGATCCTCGGTATATGGTACAAAAATAAAATAAAAATTTTAAAAATTAATAAATTAGAAATTTTCCAAGTGCAAAAATCTTACATTTATTTATGGGCAAAACACAGCATCAAGGTATGTGTTAGTAAGGGGATTCAAGCCGGGGATTTAGCTCAAGTGGCACCACGCCTGCCTCGCAAGTGCGAGGTCCTGAGTTTGAGCCCCAGTACCCCCCCCCCAAAAGTAGGGGGATTCAAACACATAAAAAATAAGGGCATGTCAGGGCTGGGGATTTAGCTCAGTGGTTTCACCACCTGCCACGGAAGCGCAAGGACCCCAATTCAATCCCTGGTACCAAAAAATAAAAATAAAAATAAATAAGGACATGTCATGCTAGGTGGCATGAGCCTATAGTCCCAGCTACTTGGGACACTGAGGCAAAAAAAATCTCAATTTCAAGGCCAGCCTGGGCAACTCTGCAAGACCTGGTCTCAAAATTAAAAATTTTTAAAAGGGCTGGGGTGCAGCTCAGGGGTAGAGTGCTTGCCTAGCATGCATGAGTCCCTAGGTTCAAATTCCAGTTACCACCAAAAAAATAAAAATAAAAAAGGATGGGCTGGGGGTGTAGCTCACTGGTGGAGTACACACTTAGTATGCACAAGGATCTGGGTTCTAACAGCCAATAAAATAAAATAAGGATCCACTTCTCCCAAGAACTCACATATTACCAGTTAACACCTGGCCATATCCTTAACTGCCCGTGAAGATGAAGACGCTCAAGCCTCACCTGGCAAAATGGGTTTTCTTGCATTAACACTTGAATTCTAATGTAAGTATGCTACAGCAGATCACCAAGACCCTGATGCTAGGTGTCTTGAGGAAAAACATATATATGCCCTCATAATACTGAGGACAGCAGCCCTGTGCAATCATAAGGAACCCATCCCCCACGGAACCCTGTGACAGATGAAACACAGCCTTCCTTGCCTTCCTCACTAGGCTAACAAAGGGAGAGGCAGCTCACTCACTCTCAGGATTTCCGCTGTGATGATAAACTCGGTCTGTTTGCCTTCTGGAGGCCTAGGATTTGGCCTTGGTGTTCCCAGTCCCAATAGAATCTTGAACTTCTCCTTCAAGCCTGAATCTTTGTTTGCTGGCTTGGCCATGGTGGCCAGGGGCCCAGGAGAGTTCCTCTGTGCAGAAGAAATAGGCACTGAAAACATCTGAGGAACAGCTCCGCCCGCATGCGCCGCCGCTGACCTCCAAACGCACGGACCCTAGTTTCTGGGGGGACATACTCCTCCTCCCTCCATCCTGTGGGGACAACTCAACCACGGCCTGGCTACCTGGCCACAAAAAGTACAGGAGATGCAGGCCTGGCCTAACTAGGTCAGACAGGGCCGCTCCCGCCCTCTGGGTGCAGGGGGTGGAAGTGGTCGCCGCAGGGTCCAGGAAGCCACGACTTTTGCCACCTCTCTTCTCCCGGGTGGATGAGGAGCTGTCTCGAGAACACCTGCAGCAGAGACCTGCTCACACCTGCCGTGACTTATAAAGCCAAGGAGTGCTTGGAGAGCGGAGATCAAGCTGCAGTGGGTGCAGCTGAGGCCTGAGCATACGGAGCCCGCCTCCCCGCCGCCCAGTCACCGCTGGGTCACAACGTGGTCTCGGCCGGCACGAGAGGCCGAGTCGCCAAGAGCCACTCACCCCTTGCGGCCGCTCGCCGCAGAGAAGAGCTCACTCTCCGGACCCCAAGCCGCTGCCGGAAGCGCGACCCGCACTTCCGGGGGTGGGACTGCGCCCCGGGCCACGCAGGGCTTGTCGGGAGCCGTAGTTCTGGGCGCTCATTGAGTACGTGTGGGCCGCCGGGGGCCGCTGGGTTGTGTAGTCAGCTGCATCCGGCATGATGGCGGCGGCGAGGATGTTGAGGCGCGGCCAGAGCCGCGCTACCGGGGTTGGGTCTTGGGGCAATGGGGAGGAGCCCGCGCCGCCAGGGAACCAGGAGGTGGCTGCAGGTAGCACCGTGCCTAGCCAAGCCACAGAAGGAGAGGCGAGGGAAGGGGACGGGGATTTGCAGGCTGGTACTGTGACCCAGGACTCGGCAAAGCCCGCAAGCGCCAGCTAGCCCTCTGGCCCCACGTGCGGCCCTGCGGTTCCACCCCGGCCCTTTCTCTGAGGCTGGCCCCACCCTCATCCGGAACAAGAAAGTTCCGGTCCCACTAGCCTGCCCCGGGACGGTCCACTTGTGCCAGCCTGGCTGTGGGACACAGCAGCCCTGTGCTCAGAGCTGCTTCCTTCTTAGCCGGACTGACTGCCAAGAAATACCCAGCCAGAAGTCTCCCCCAGCTGGAGGGTGGTACTGAGAGAAAACAGGAAAAGGCATGGCATTCATTGTATTTGTTCTGTAACCCTTAAGGACCTACTGTGCGCCAAGAAGCAGAATTGGGGAGAGCAGGACTAACAGGGCCCCTATAGTCTCCTTCTAGGACTTCTGCAGATTTGGCCAGAGCAGGATTTCCATAGGCACCTAGGGCACGATGGAAGTCCAAACAAGGATATCCTCTGGTACTGGAATGGCAGGGGAAAGGTTGTACAGTGGGGAGCAGGCGGGTGATGATGCCTCCCAGGCAGCAGGTGCTTTCTTGGCCATAGAGTTTGGATTCATCTTGAGTCTAAAGGAAAGCCAAGGAGTTCTGAAATGGGTGTGACACAGTCTGACTTGAGTGTTAGAAAATTATCTGGGATGCAGCTGAGAGGACATATTGGGGCATAATGGTAGAGGCTGTTACTGGAATTCTGGTGTGCTAACTGCACTTTTTCAGGGTTTCTTGTTTCACTTTGCAGGTAGAAAATGGACAGTCCCTGCCTGAATGACTGAGAAGGGGGGTAGGTGGTACCTGTGCCCACCTCTCCCCTGTGACCCCCCTTGAAGGACTGAATGGCCCTTTTTTGCAGAAAGTAGAAAAAGCCACAGACCTGTGAAGCGACAGCGGAAGGCACAGAGACTGCATGTGGCCTATGAGGACTCGCATGGTGAGAAAAGTGAGGGGGCTGAGCCCCTTGCTGTGACAGTTTGGGAGCCCCAGGACTGGTGTCAGCAGCTAGCCAATATCCGCACCATGAGGAACAGGAAGGATGCACCTGTGGACCAGCTGGGGGCTGAGCACTGCTGTGACCCCAGTGCACCCCCAAAGGTAAGCAGGGGCCCCACCTGCCCAAGTGACATCCCCTCCCACATAAGGAAGACACTTGCTTCCTCTCAGGCCTCTAGCATAGGACAGCCTGAGATCTGGCTGCTCTTAGCTGGCACCGTGCCTTATAGACAGCACACAGCAAGCCCACACACACACCCTGTTACCCTTAGTGGGTAGAAAGTCCAGGGGGACAAAGAGAAGGTGGGTGGAGGGCTTGACTGGGGCCTGGACCAAAGTGAGGTCCCGGAACCCATTGCACCCTGGTCCCTGTCATTGCACAAGCAGGTGCAGAGGTACCAGGTGCTGCTGGCCCTGATGCTTTCCAGCCAGACCAAAGACCAGGTGACAGCGGGTGCCATGCAGCGACTGCGGGCCCAGGGCCTGACAGTAAACCGCATCCTGCAGACAGATGACAACACGCTGGGCAAGCTCATCTACCCTGTGGGCTTCTGGAGGGTGAGCCTAGCCCATGGTGATAGGGCTGGGGTGACACTTGCCTGGCAGAGACACAGGAGGCAAAGAGTGAGCATCTCTGACCACAGGCTCCTCATGTCAGTAGGGTGAGGTGGAGGCAGGCTTTGTGGTTGGTACTTTGTCCCTGGAACTCCTTGACCTTTCCTATTTGCACCCCTTCCTTCCTGCACTTCCCCACCCAGCTGCCTGCCCTTCCTTTCCTTACCTTCCCCTCTGTTTACTCCAAGTCTCCCTGGAGAGCATCACCCCAAAGAGGCTCCCCCATCCCACTCAGAGTACTGGGTGGTAGGTGGACAGATCAGTTGAAAGTGGCTCAGTGGGTGGGGCTATTTCTCCCTAGCAGTGGTGTGGGCTGTAGTCAGTCAGACAGGCTTTAAATAGCCCTTTCCACTCAGGCACAGGATGGGAACCGCCTGGCTGGCTCAGCAGCTGGGGTGGGGAGTCCAGGGCTCCAGCCTTCCTTGCTGAAGGCCCAGATGCTGAGGAGCCCAGCTCCTGGGAATGGTTGGCTTGCTCAGCCTGGCCCAGCCTTTAGAAGGAATGCTGGGGCAGAGGGACACAAGCTAGACCCCATAGACATGTCATTGGTCTATGTGGATTGGTGGCAAGGGTCTACCCCTGCCTTGGGTCCTGTCAAGGGCCTCCTTTGGATCTCCCTACTGCCTTTGTTTCCTTCCCATCTACTGTGGCGTAGGATGACCAAATACTTCTGCCTGCATCTTGGGCAGGTGACAGGCAGCTCTGGGCCCTTGTGGGCCTCCTCAGAGCCTTGTCCTCCCAAATCAGGCCACACTTCCCCACCTCAGGGCTGACCCCTTAATATCTTTCAGAGCAAGGTAAAGTTCATCAAGCAGACAAGTGCCATCCTACAGCAGCGCTACGATGGGGACATCCCAGCCTCTCTGGCAGAGCTGGTGGCACTGCCAGGTGTCGGGCCCAAGATGGCACACTTAGCGATGGCTGTGGCCTGGGGCACAGTGTCGGGCATAGGTGAGTGGCACATGCCACAGGAAGGAAGGATGGGCCCTAGGCTTGCTGGCTGCTATTGAGATTCCCCACATTCCTATGACCTATGACCCAGCTCCAGCCTCCTCATCCAAGACTTAGGAAGGTGTTCTCAGTGCTAAGCTAGCCAGCCCTGCAAGAGATGGCAACTGATAGCAGGAGCTCAGATTTGCTAAGCACCTACTGCCTGCTGGGTTCTGTGAGGGGCCCTGGAGCTAGATGAAGGTGTGTCCCCCCTGCTGGAGAGAGAGTAAACAAGGATTGCCTCACCTGTAGGTGGAAACACTGATGAGGGTACACATGCCTGACCTGAGCAAACAGCATCTAGGAAGACTTCCTGAGGTTATGTTTCCACCAAGAGCTTGGGGTAAGGCAGGGTTAGCCAGGCTGAGAGGAGGAAGTGAATTCCAGACAGAAGGAACAGCATCTGCAAAGCTGTGCAGTGGGCAGGAGGTCAGGAGCAGAAAGCTTTGAAATGAGACAGGTGAATGGGAAGGTTTGGGGCAGGGGCAGGGCCCTTCATGGAATCCTTTTCCTGGATGTCACTTGCTGGCATTGGAGATTCCAGTATAGTAGTAGTGGAGTAAGGCAAACTCCCTGGGGTGGGGACTGTGCTGCTTCTTTCTTGGACCTTTTCCCAAAGAAATTGAGGCTCCTGTAGCCACAGGGCAGCTGGGCCCAGCCAGCCCAGAAATCAGGAAAGTAACCCCAGCCTCTCCTTGCCCCTGACTCTGGGCTCCTCTAGGATTCTTCAGAAGCTCTGGAGTCGGGTTATCTCTCAGCAGGTCCCTGGGCGGGCAGCCCTGCAGCCCTTCTTGGCAGGCAGGAAAGCAACTCAGGGCCCAGAGCTGTGGGTGGGAGCTGGTGGCTACCATTGAGACTGGAGAGTAGCAATCCCTAGAAAAACCAGGATGGGCATGAGCAGGGCACAGCCTCCTCCCCTACCTCGACTCTCAGTGCCACCTTCCAGCCACCTCATAGACACTTGAGCTTATCTGGGCACTGTCCTCAGCTGTCTAACCATGTCCTAAGAGTGCTGTGTTATGTTTTGGTACCTCTGTCCCGGAAGGTCCCATGACCAGGTAGGGGACTATATTTTGAGCACAGTAGACAGCAGAAAGGAGCGTTGCAAAGTCACTCTGGTTGTCTGTGACTTGGACCATCACTGAGAACCCCCCAAGGCTGCTTCCTAGGGGAAAGAAAATGTTCTCGTCACATAAAAAGCTAGAGCTATAGGTTCAGGAACCCACCCCAGCTCTTCCAATTCCACCTGGGCAATCTTGGGTCAGGCACTTGGCCTCCTTCCTTCAAAGCCAGTGAAGGAGTTGCCCTATTTAACTACACAGATGTGTCAGAAGCCCTTTGGGCCAGCACATGATGTGGCCCTGGACTGAGCCCCTGGGTGTCCTAAGGAACATGGTTGCCTCTGGGTTAGGAGGAAACAGTCTCAGTGTTTCTGAGGTGTGATGGCTGGGGAGCCATCATGCTCTGCCTGCACCCAAGGTGCCTTTTCCCAAGCATTGGCAAGACAAGGGAGCTACTGCAGAGATTAGCTTCTGTTGCTGAACCCTGGAGAAGAAAGCAGGACAGGATTGCAGCTGGCCAGGATGCCTGGGCCAGGTGAGGAGGCCTTAGTGAGTAAGCACCTGGGCTGAGCCTCTATAGTGCCCAGATGATGGGAGCAGGAGCTGAGGCCCAGGTGGATCACAGCTGCAACAGGCCTGGCCACACTTCCTGCTCTGTCCCTGATAGCTATAGTGGCAGATTCCAGCTCTGCAACAATGATCTCAGGCCAGCCTGTTGGATCAAGCTGCTGCTCTCAAACCTGGTGCCCACAGCCAGTGCCTGGGCCAAGAGTGACCTCAAACCACAGGAGATGGGGCAAAAGAAGCAGGGCAGGCCCTTCATGGGCCAGACATCATTTCTGGGGAAATTATGGGCTGAGAGTACACGCTTTTATGGGTTTTTGTTTTTATGGGGGTTTTTTGTTTTGTTTTCTTTCTTTATTTTTTTTTTGGTGCTGGGGATAAAACCCAGAGGCTCATGTATCACTCTACCCTAGATAGCACATGCTTTGGAGTGAACCTTGCCTGGTCTGTTTTTGCACTTGTAGATGCTTTGTAAAGACTTAGTATGTCAGGCTTGGTAGTGCACACCTGTAATCCCAGCGCTTGGGAGGCTGAAGCAGGAGGATCACTGCAAGTTTGAGGCCAGCCGGGGATACGTACCTAGTTCAAGGCCAATCTGAACTACATAGCAAGACCCTCTCTCAAACAAAACAAAACCTGGCTTGGTGGCACATGCCTGTCTGTAGTCCCAGAGCTCAGGGAAGCTGAGGCAGGAGGATCACCCAGAATTCAAGACCAGCCTGAACTAATTAATGAGACCCTCTCTCAACTGAAAGTGGAAATAAGGACCAAAATGTATAATAGATATGGGGAAATGGGAAGAAATGTTCAAATGAGAAGCGGAACAAGAAGGGGAAAGGAAAAAAGGGATACAGAAAAAAGAATAGAAGGAACAAATAGAAACAGCTTTTGTAAAAAGAGGAAGAGGGGTCAAAGGAGGCAGGAAATGATAATAAAAGAATCAAGATACATCATGTACAGCTATAAATTCCCTGTGATGAATGTTATCATATCTGAAATGTACCAGTAAGTTTCGCTTCAAAAAAAAAGACTCTCTCAAAACAAAAAAGTCAGAAGACTTACTGAGGTAAGGCTGATGGATTTCAGCATAGGATCTGACCCCAGCAAGCCCTTGACCCAAGTTAGCTGGTACTGTTGGTGGAGCAGAGTCTAGAGCAGAGATACCTTCCTACTCACACAGTTGGCATCAGGATTGCTGGGACTGGGCTCTACCAGCCTCCTAACAGTGGGAGGGAGGCCCGCAGAGGGCTGCCCAGCTTTTAGGGAGAGGCTCCAGGTCCAGCTTAGCAGCTGAGATGCAGCAGCTGCTCAGATGTGCAGCCAGGGCTGTGTAGTTCCCATCCTTGCTCTGGAGTCCTAGGTGGGTAGGCCACTCCCCAGCCCACACACATACACTACTGAAGGCTTTGGATAGTGATAGTTTGGCAGTGTACACTAGTTCATCCTGCCCTGTCTCCATATAGCAGTGGACACACACGTGCATAGAATTGCAAATCGACTGAGGTGGACCAGGAGAATGACCAAATCCCCAGAGGAGACCCGAGCTGCCCTAGAGGAGTGGCTGCCCAGGTGCGTTGGGATGGGGGGTGTTCTGATGGATGGGGCCTCCCCTTCCTCTCTCCACACTGACATGGCTCTGACCTCCACAGGGAGCTGTGGCATGAGATCAACGGGCTGTTGGTGGGCTTTGGCCAGCAGATCTGCCTGCCCATCCACCCTCGCTGTCAGGCCTGCCTCAATCAGGCCCTTTGCCCTGCTGCCCAGAGCCTCTAAGGGCTGTGGGGCTTCAGCTTGGGTCCTGGCTGTTACCTATGAAGTACCTTTGTGTTTGGGCGGGGGGGGGCGCGGGGGGCGGGTCACAACCTGTACAATAAAGCTTGGGGGTTCTTTGCAGTTGAGGTCTGGCTGACTTCTATCCCCAGGGTCTGGGAGCAGTCAGGAAGCACATGTGTATACTGTTCATGGGTGTTGGGCTGATTCCCTAGGAGGCTGGGGAATATAATAGTCCTTGCTGTGTACTCAGGGAGGGAGGAAATAGTGATAGCCAGCTGCACCCAGCTGCTGGGAAGCCTACAGTCAGTCTCTGACTTATGAATATTCGAGTTGTGAACTCTGACAGGAATAGACCTCCCATTACATTCATAGATACAAACAGATATGGAAGTAGCTCACATGCCTACCTTTGTACTGTACTGTACCATTTTAAGGTATCTGTAAAAGTAAAAATAGTTTATTTACAGTATTTGTATGAATATGTGTGGTTTTCTTTATGCTTTATATTGTTTGTTTGTGTCAAAGGTAAGACTTTATCAGTCTTAAAAACAAATCCGACCTATGAATGTTCTCCTGGAATGGAACTCATTTATAAGTCAGGGACTTACTATACTGGGAAAGTGTCCCTGTGGTCACTCACACTCTGTCCATCTGTAGGCCCAGCAGCTTCTCAGCCCAGACTCTGCCAGCTCCTGAACTTGTATACCCTGAGAGCTGCCTCTGCCAGGGTCCTACCCCCATGTTCACAGAGCCACTTGTTTTGACATCAGGGCACAAGGCTTGACTGTGTGTAGTGCCTGATATGGAAGGTAGCCTGTGGGCTCACCAGGTGGAAGAGATGGGCAGAGGTCCCAGAATGTGCCACAGGGGATGGGGCAGGGTGGGTCTTAGGAATGTGGGGGTCCTAAGTGGAAACAAGAGGTGAAAGCAGCAGCCCTGACTACAGCCCCAACCACAGGGTCCCCTAGAATGGACTTAATCCATCCACTCCCTACCTCCCAACCAGAGACTCAAAGAAGACATGGTGCCAGGTTCCAAGGCAAGGTCTGTTTATTCTTAGAGCGCGCATGCGCTATGGCTTACAAGGCAGACAGCAGTGTCGGTCAGTATAGGGGTTCAGGGCATTGAGGAAAGGGCAGAGTCAACAGGATGTCTGTAGGGGTGGATGCCGGGCAGGTGTAAGGCAAAAAAAGGCTAGGCCTATAGGCTTGGGGCCCTTCATGGGGGCAGTTCTTACATTCCCCAGGCCTGGTGCGGGAAGGGGGGCCTGTCCGGAGACTGCCTTCCTCGGGGCATAGGCCTCCATCCTCAGGCCCCTCATAGAGCCCAGGCCCTGCACTCCAAGCCCCTAAATGGGCAGGGGGCTAGGGGCTGGCCTAGTGACCCTCCACACAAGGGAGGGCAGCTCCTATAGGCACATCTGGCTTCCCCAGCCTTTCCCCAAAAAAGCTCACATGAGTACAGCCTGAGGGCCTCTGGCTTTCTGTCCCCTGGAAGTTCCTAGGTTTTCACTCAGGATGGTGCTACTGAGGAGGTGGGGAGGAAATGGTTTGCAGAGAAAGGTTTGTTGTATCGCAGTTACTTAGAAAGCAAGTCGTAGGGGTAAAGGGGCTCTAGTATTAAGTGGAAACGTGGTGCTGGAGATCTTTTTGAGAAAAAAGCAAAACAAATTCCTTTCAGTCAGCAGGCCTGGGACAGAGCAGCAAAGGCCCTTGGTGATGGTCACACTCTGGCCCACCTTCTCTTCACCAGTCATTTTCTCTCTCAGTGTCTCTTTCTGTCTCTGTCTCTCTCCTCATCTTGCTGGGATAGGTCCCCAGCACAGAGCAGGTAGGAGACAAGACAGAGGCTCACTGGGGCACAGGTTGCTTTCTGGATAGAGGAAACCACCCCCCAGTCCACTGAGGCTTGCGGAGCTCTGGACAGGCCAGCGATCCCACATGGGCCCAAACAGGCAAGGAGGGGCTCAGAAGTTGCTGAAGATCTCACGCTTCCGGTTCCAGTCCATCTGGGGCGCCCGCTTGTTGACCCGCGTGGCCCGAGCCTTCTCCTTTGCCTCAGCTGCTGTGGGGCTCAGGTGGAGGCCGCTTTCCTGGAATGGATCTCGCTTCCAGGTACTACCATCCTGGAGGCAGGCAGGGCAGGCAAGGTGCCAGAAGTGAGCTCTAGACCTGGGCCCCAGACAGGCACCTTCCCAAGAAGCTTACACCAAAGACCACCTGGGGGACAGGGCAGTGGACGCAGGAGGGCTTCCTGGAGGTGGTGGCCCTACTGTCCAGGCTGAGATCTCCACAAACACCTACCCTTAAGGCCTCTGGCACACCCATGTTTGACCATAGCAGCAGAATTACCTCAGTGTCCTTGTCTGAGCCTGGTAGGTCACTTCGGGACAAGCACACCGAGCCACCATTGAGCTGGGAAACCAAGAGCAAGGCAGGGCTTCAGGGTTCCCACCCAGGGAGCCACTAGTGTACAGAGCTACACACATGCACACCTTTTCTCACACACCACCCCTTTACACACCTCTCCATGCATGCCTTTGCACACACACTACACCTTTGCATGCAAGCCTTTGCACACATGCATACAACTGCATCTAGTACTCCTTTGGTAGTAAGCACCAACCCTCCACTACTGTCCAGATCCAGCTGAGCAGGACACTGGGCACCCAGCAGTGAACAGGCAGGTTGCCAGCCGTGGCTTATCACAATATGGGAGGGAATCACCCATGAGTATCACCTTGGATGAAGACAGGGCCGTCTTCCAAGGAGGTTGCGACTGCAGGATGAAACAGTAGCTAAATAGTACCAGGAACAGAGAAGAGAGGGCAGTGGCCCCAGAGCCCCAGGTGCCTGCTGGCCCTGTGTGACTTGGGCATGGTGCTGACCCAGGACAGGATCCCTACAGTGGGTATTAAAGCTGGGGTGATGGAGTCAGACATGGATCTGGGTTTTGCAACCATACCTACTCAAGAGTAGAGATCTCCAGGGGAAGGGGGCCCCTCTGTCAGGCCTGGGGACCCAGAGGTGCACCTGTGGTCACCTGGCCCCACCCTCTCACCTGGGCAGGGCTGGTCCCATTGGTAACTGGTGATGGCAATGGACCTGTGGAGACAGTGTGTCAGTGGCTGCCCTCCCTCCACATTGACCCTACCCCACGCCCCCAGGCACCAGCCCACCTTCCACATGCTCTTCGGTGGGTGTGACCCGCAGTTGCTTGAAGTGCTCATCTGTCTCAGGGTCCACCACCAGCAGCCGGGCTTCATGCTCCTGTGCCTTGATCCTTGCGACAACCTCAGCATGGCGCAGCCCCTCCACATTCTGCCCATTCACCTGCCACCACCAACACAGGGTCAGCAGGGCCCAAGGGGCCCAGCCTGCCCCACACCACCTAGCCAGGTGTGCCATCAAATATTCATCAAAGCCACCACCAGCTGAGGCAGCAAGAGGAGTGCTAGCTCAGGTTCCCAGTGTCTCCCCTCCTTCAGCAAGGTCCCAAGACCCAGACATGGACACACATGGCACATCAGTGGGCACAGTACCTCGATGAGCCGGTCCTGGGCACAGAGACCAGAGTGGGAAGCAGGTGAGCCTGGGTCCACAGAGCGGATGTACTGGCCAGGCCGGGACTTGTCACTGTGCAGATTAAATCCATAACCCTGAGGTCCCTTTTGAAGGTGACAGAGCCGAGGCCGAAACTCTCTCGGGGGCCCACTGACATCCTGCAGTCACAAGGGATGTAAGATCAGGCTCTAGCCTCCCAGCCCTAGCAGCCACACATCTGGACACCACCCACCACCCCAGCAGGAATTCCTAGGTCTCAGCAACAAACACACCATGTGGTCCATGCCCCAGGGACTCAGTAAGGCTGCCTGGGACCAAGTTCTAGCCGTGGGACCTCGGTTTCCAAATGTGAGGTGTTTTTAGTTAGGACAACTGCCTTGCTGGGTTGTTGGGAAAATTCATGCTCAACACAGTGCTGTGTGTTGGCTGGAAATGTAGGAAGAAGCCAGGTGAATTAAGCTGCCATCACAGTGACTGAGCAACTCAGATGGCTGCACCCCCAGGCCTGCCTGTGTATCCCACTTCCCTGGCTTCCTGCCTCAATTCCAATGCCTGGTCAGCTCTGTTTCTCCAGGAGGTAGGCTGTGAGCTGCAGCCTGTGTGGTGGCTGTGTTTGCTTTCACATTCCAGTGCAAAGCAGAGACAGTCCCACCCCTGTAGCCCAGAAAGATGGGGCCAGGTCTGGAAGGGGAGCCCCAGCCCCACCCCCGCCACCCTACCCCAGATACAGGAGCTCAGATATAGTACCAGTAGGGAACCCCAGCTGCCACCCAGGGCCCTAACTCACTTTACCTCTGGCATCCTGCAGCTGGGCTCTGGGCCAGGGGACTATGTAGGCAGGGCCCAGTGACCCCCACTCAGCCAGCGACCAGAACACTGACTGTAGTGCTGAATGGCCAACTGTTGCTGGTGCCCAGTTACACATGGGGGTGGCTAGGGTGAGTAGGCAGGTAGCAGCTCAGGTTTCTGAGGGCGTGTGCAGGTGACAGTGTGCTGCGCCCTCCCTCACCTTCCAGCTCCCTGCATCTTGTCAATAAGGGATTCTGGGCCAGGCTGGGGCTAGGGGCAGCCTAGGGGAGGGTCCCTCATGTCTCAGGGAAGGTCTCCAACCCATGGGCACCTGTACTTCTGTAGCCCAGACCATCCCTTCCCTGGCTGCTCCAGCTGCCCAATCGTTGAGCTCATTCCAAACCCCAAATCTGACTGGGAAGGTCCTTGTCCATGGGCAGCTATACAGCTATGGAAGCAAGGGTGTCTTTCTGCTCCAGTGCCCCCAGGGTTCTGGGCCTGCCCCTCAGCCTGCCCAGCCTGCACCCCTGCTCCAGACCCCTTCTCTGACCCCAAAGCCTGACCAGACACCTTGTCTAGAGTCTCCTGCTGACCCTCTGAACCCTTGATGTGTGGCCAACATTTGGCCCCATTTCACTAGGCTTTGCTCAACTCCCCAGAGGTTCAGCTGAGCATACACAGGCTGAATTTCAGGGTATAGGACCCCCAAGAGCCCTGCTACATAGACTCATTCTCTCTCCCAAACAGACCTAGAGATCCAGGTGAGGGACTTTGGAAGAGGCCTGGACACCCCCCCACCCCCACCCCGACACACACAGAAGTGTCTCTCAGGAACATACCATCAAGAGCACAGCCTAAGATGGGAAGGAAGAAACAGAGACAGAATCCAGAGCCAGCCCAGAGCGTAAACATGTGATGTGACCATGCCTGGCTTAGGGACATGGCCCAGGATGTGGGGCCACATCACATGGTCACAGAGACAAGACATCCAAGTTTACACTTTTAAACATCCTACAGGGACACAGACAGCCACCCACACATGCAAACACAGGGCCCGTGACTCCAGCCTGTGGCCTCTTCCCACAGCCTGTGCAACAGCCTGCAGGGCAGAGTCTCTTAAGGCCCCCAAACAGGAAGCAGGATTTGGCAGGGGTATCCAGAGCCATGAGGCCAGGCTAAGGCCATATCTGTGCTCAGCACCATTCTGGCCAGCCCCCTGCCTCAATGCAGAACACCTGCCTCTCACTGCACAGGCCAAGAGGTTCCTGCTAATTACTAGCATTAAGTCCCTCTCATTACAAAGCAGGTCCAAAGGGTGCCAAACTTGGCACGGGACCCTCAACTGGAGGGACTGCAATGCAGGGGGCCTGGCCAGCCTACATGGTGTGTGGAGGGGAGCAGTGGCAGTGGGGTGGCGGGAAGGGAGGTGCATTGCTCAAATTCCTTCTCCCTGGCCTGGCTCTGCACACTTCCTGCTGCTTCCCTTCAGGCCCTCTGGCTCCCACAGGCTCCCAGCCTGATGGCCGAAGTGCTGGGCAAGCCCTGGTCCCCCTGCTCAGCCTGTGGCCAAAGAGGCTACCATAGAAATGCCCCAAGAGTCAAGCTGTGCCCCATCCCCCATGGTGACTCACCAGACAGAGAAAGGTCCCCATTGTTGCTTGGGGTCCAGCCTACTTACACAAAAGTCCCTGAGTCCCTTTTCCCTCCCCTGCAGGAATGAGCAGAGGCTGGGGTCCTCACAGCCCAGCCCTTCCCCTACTCCACCTGACCTGTACAAGCCCCCAGGGTGGGCTCTGTGGAAGGGCTCCTGGAGCTGGGATGGGTGGTGTGGAATTCCTGGAGTGGGCCATGAGAGGCAGGACAGAAACGACAGGCAGTCAGCATACAGCCTGGATGGCCTGAGGTCTCTGGCCAGCCCAGGCTGCCACCCCACTTATCTACCTCCTGCGGTAGCCCAGGTTCCCTGGGGGATGGGTGGGGACATAGAGGCTGAGTCACTTTGGGGAGCAGGGTGGTGACTGACCCCTGTGCCCTGCTGAGACTCCAACCCAGCACCCCCCACCTAACTGGGTTTCCCTCCCAAGAAAGGAAGGAAGGAAGCCACTGGGAGGGCCTGCCCTGCTGCTGGACCTAAGGCTAGGGAGACAAGTAGGCAAGGGGGGGTTCCCAGCCCCAGGACAGAGGACAGTCCTGCTGTGGCTCATACAGAAGAGAAGGGCTGCGGGAGCCTGGGAGCCCCAGAAGCCCTCTTCCAGGCATTGCATCCAGCACCCTACAGGCATTCACCCCTCGCCCAGTTGGCCCCCAAAGCCTGCCAGATGGGGTGATCACAGCTAAGGTAGGGGGTGGGAGTGGATGACAAGGGTCTGTCATGATTTGCCTGGCCCTGGCACTGGTGACTGCCCTGTCTCTGTTTGGGGGCTGTTCCTGTCATTACTGCTAGAATCAGCTGCACTGCAGCTGCAGCCACCCCCAGCCTCGTGTGGCCCTGGGCTGAGTCACCACTGACAAGGCCTTCTAGGCCCCCAAAGGGAAGGATAGACCACACCAGTGTCCTCCAGACCCCAGCTTCCCTACCCAGCTTGCGACAAAGGACACTTAAGGCACAGAGAGGGCAAAGGTGGCTCTTGCTTTCCTTGGGGCACCTAGTGAGATCCACACATACCTCCTAGGTCTGTCCCTCTTCCACAAACACCCTTAAGAGCACACCACCCTCCCACACTCCTTGCATTCAACCCCAAGGCAAACGGTCTCTAAGTCTGGCTTATGGTGGTCACACACATGAGGTCCCACAGAGTGCCCCAAGCAGTGACCCCCACCCCCAGGTCCCCTGACTTCCCAGACTCCGTGTCCCCAAGTTAGCCTCATCTACAGAGAGACCTGCCCATCACACCCCTCTTTGTTCCTCTAAAAATATGCCCAAAGGAAACCCCCTCCTAGGGCTTCCTGCAGCCCCTACAGCCTGAAATAGTAGGGGGGGGTCCCACCCACCCAGGGCTGAGGTGCCTCGGCCACCCCACCTCCAGATAAGGCCCAAGGGCGGATTTTTCCACAGGAAGGTGAACTCAGCTACCACCGTTGTGTCTAAATCAATGGACAAATGCTGGGGTGGGGGGGGTGCTTCCTCCTGGGAAAGGGAGGTGCCCAATCCTCAGCCAGGGGAAGGGGGCCCTGGGACCAGCTGGCTACCAGCAGGACTTCCTTGAAAGACTCCTGAACATCTCCCCATCCCAAGACAAGCTGCACAGGGCTCAAATCCCAGGCACACCAGGGAAAGGGAAAGGGAAAGGGAAAGGGAAAAGGCAGATCTCAAGGTCTTCTGCACACACTTCAGATCTGACAATGGCACCACCCCTAGGCTACTGGATCTTAAAGTAGGATCCGGAGAACCAGCCCCTGGACTTAAATCCCTTTGGGTAGTTGTGATGGGGTTCTGGGTGTGAGAGACATCAGGCCCTCCAGGAGGTAGAACAAATAACCCCAGGCCTTTCCTCCTGGCCTCAAGGCACACATCTCAGGTACTGTAGCTACCTGGAAGGAGGTGAGGCAGGCTTACTTTTGTTCTAAAGACAAGGTCTCTCTATAGTTCAGACTGGCCCCAGGCTGGCCTCAAACTGGCAGCGATCCTCTTATCTCAGCCTCCCAAGTGCTGGGATTATAGGCATGTGCCACCAGCAATGGCTCACCTGTTCTTTTCTGGGACTGCACCTGGAAAGGAGGCAGGGACAAGGGACAGGTGCTACACAAGAGGGGCATAGCTGAGTGGGGTGGTGCAAACTATAATCCCAACACTCAGAAAGTTAAAGCAGAAAGACTGTCATGAGTTCAAGGCCAGCTGGGATTACATTGGAAGACTTAGTCTCAAAAAAAAAAAAAAAAGAGCACAGGGGCCTCTTTTATATGGGGGAGGCACCCCATTAGGACCCAACACATGAGGGGGAGGGCCAGCAGTCAGTGCTTTGCACTGGCTGCTCAGCCCCACCCTTATTCCTCAAGGTCCAGCCATGCTGGGCCCCCAATTCAGTGTGTCCTCAGCCCCTCCCCACCAAAGCATTGACCACAGAGGAAGCAGCCTCCTGCAGGCCTTCCCAGGACACACTGATTCCCAGACCCACTGACAGACACCCAGGACAGATACAGAGCTGGGCACCTGAGATTCTGGAACAACCCACCAGTTCCTCTCAAGGCTCCTCAGCCACTGGACCCTGGGGTGGAACATGATGGGGACAGAAAGAGTGGCCCCAAGTGGCCTTAGGGTGGTCAGCAGCAGCAGAGACAGTGATTACTGCAGCAGAGAAGGGGCCCCAAGAGGAAGAGGAAACAGCAACTTGTGGAAGTGACCAGAAGTACAGACTGTCATCAAAAGGCTGAGATGGTGGCTGTTGGAGCAGCTGAGTAGCCCCATTAGCCAGAGCCTGACATACCTTCTGGTCAGCATCAGAGCTGAGGCTGCCCCCATGTGCCCAGTCAGGCTTTGGTTCCCAGAGGTCATGGGCCGGTGGAAGGCCTTGATGGGCCATTTCCTCAGTGCAGGTCAGCTGCCGCCGGCGAAGCTCCTCATCTGTCTCCTTGTCTACCACCAGCAGCTGTGTCTGCCCTTCCACAGCCTTGATCCTCTGTACCACCTAGGACAGGCGGGTGGAGGGACAGGGTCAGCAGCCAGAACCCTGGACAACACATGGACACTGGCGCCACCCTGGGCTGACCCAGACTCAGGCTAGTAGGAAGGAGGCTGCTCTGCAGGGGTAGGCACCTGGATGGAGGCCATCAGACTCCGCCTCCCCACCCCTAGGCTCCAGCAGCACCCTCCTTATCTTGGAGCTCCTGACACTAGCGCTTGAATTGCAAAGGCTTTGGGATTCTCTCAGTTCTTGGCCTCAGCCCAGGGTCTTCTCCAAGAAAGGCTTGGAAGGAGGGGACTGGAAGGAGCCATAGGATACAGCCAGCAGAGAGTCAGTCTGTCTGAAAGTGGCAAGGATGTGCCTGGCTGGGCTTCAGGTTTTCAGTCTGTGAGTGTATGCGCACATGTATGTATACATGTGCATGCTCTTGTGCACATATATATTTTGGTCTCTATCTGGTATGCAAGAGAGGTATGTCCCTTGGTGCCACTGTAGTATGCTTGGGTCTGTTTCTGTTTCCAACATAAGTCTAAACTCCTGCCTCTGGGCCTCCCATTCCCCTCCAGACCAGGGACCAATCCCTGCTGGAACTGCAGAAAAGTGAAGACCTGGGTTTCTGGCTCAGACACCTCCACACATCCCAGTAAGCAGAATTCAGTCCTAGCAGGTAAGGGGGGCCAAGTGCAGCTCCACTGTGGGACAGGTGTGGCTTTACACCTGTCCATGAGTCTAAGTAGATGCTTATGAAATGTTGTTAGCAAGCAGGCAGGTAGGAGCAGGCAGGATGTTTGTGTGCACCCATAGGGAGAAAGGGAAGTGCTTGCTAGCACACAGTAAGAAGGGTGACAACCCCAGCCCCTCCTTGAGGCCCTCACCACTGTTCTGCTCAGCAGATGTTGTCAACATATGGATAGGAAGGTCTGACCGAGGCCCATCCTCTCTGGTCCCATAATGTCCCTCCTCTTTCCCCATGACCCAGAGAGTGACAGGAAGAACCCAGCATCCTGCTGCTTCCTGACATGGGACCTGGGTAAATTATCTACAATTTCAACATATTCGTTTCCTCATCTGTAAAATGGGAGTTATAGCTGTACCTCCTCCCCTCCTGGGACAGTGGGGAGAGTTCATTATGGGTCTGTGTGAAGTTCTTGGACACCAGCAACCAGAGGCCTGGAATAACCAGGTGCACTTGGGGTGAGGGTGGCAGTGACTCTCAAACAGAGGCCAGGCAACAGCTCTCCTAGACTCTCCCGCACCTGCTGGACCAACCCTCCAGCACCCCCACTTTTTCAGCACATAGCCATATTTGTTTGATGCTCTAGGAAAAAGACAAGATAGACAGACAGACCCCTGGGGGAGATAGTTCAGCTCCTGGCCCAGCCAAGAACCAGTCTGCTATCTCCAGGCCCCAGGACTGGCCACAAAGACAGGCCCTGACCTGGCTGGCTGGTGCTGTGAGGGACACAAGGGACCTGGAGCAGAAAGTGTGGAGGAAGGCTGGACTCCAGCCAGCATCTGGGGTGAGTCCACTCCTGCCAATGAAAGACAGATACCCCAGGGGGCAGAAGATGCAGAGAGAAAAGTATGCATGCCCTCTAGGCCTTCCTCCAGCTGCAGGAGGCAGGGGCTTTTGTAGTGACCCCAGCCTAGGCAAGGAGCCTCAGAGGACAAGAAGGGGCCTCAGGACCCAGGGAATGTGCTTCCACACCCAGCTGGGATGCACATTATTACACCAGCTTCAGACATTGCCAAGTACACATAGCCAGACAGGCAGACGGGTGCACACATACACATACAGAGCCCAGCTCACAAGACAGATATGCAGATGTGTCCAACCCAGTCCTAGGCACACAGTCCAGCACACAACCAGACACACAGGTGTACCCTTAATGGGATCCTTTCCCCGGTACACACTGGCAGGTATGTGCACACATGGATGACTCAAGAGGGACCTGCACGCTCACACATATTCCCAGTTGTGTACACACTCACAGAAAAACACTTGTACCAGGATGTCCCAATGTGCCCAAACCCCGACACAGTCACACTGAGGCCAAAGCACAGGAGTCAAGAGCCAGAGCCAAGGGCCAGAGCAGCCGCAGTGGCCCCTCCCTGCCAGGACACCCCCCCCACATGTGCAGCACTGGGCTTCCCAGCCAGGAGACGGCCGGACCACATCCCCCATTTCGACACGGAGCCTACACAGGCCGCCGTGCGCCACCCACCCCCATGCTTGGACCCAGCAGGGTTTGGTGAGCCAGGGTCTTCTGCACCCTCGGGGAGGGGCCGGCCCGGGGCGGGGAGCAGGCACCCACCTGGTGGTGCGTCTCGCCCTCCACGTTGACGCCGTTGACCTCGACCAGGCGGTCCCCAGCGCGCAACGCGGCCGCCTCGGCGGGAGACCCGGGCTCCACGCGCCTGATGAATTGCCCGCGGCGGCCCTTCTCGCCGTGCAGGTGGAAGCCGTAGCCTTGCTCGCCCCGCACCAGGCGGCACAGGCGCGGCCGCAGCGGCTCCGGCGCGGCCATGGCGCCGCTGCCCCCCAGCCGGCCGCTGCTGCCCACGACAGGCAGGCAGTAGCGCGGGGGCGCAGGCGGCGACACTGGGGACCCGCGGCGGCCTCGGCGTCTCCTGCTTGCTTCAGTCTCTTCAGGCTTCGGCTCTAGCTCCCGCCCCAGCCCGGGCCCCGCCAAGCCTGCGGCACCGCCCCCGCGCCCGCCCTTTCCCCGCCCCCGCTGCCCGGCTGCCCCAGCCTGACCCAAGCCCCGCTGGCTAGGCCCCTACGTGGACGCCCAGCAGCCTCGGGAACCACGGAGGTGAGGGACTGCCGGCCAGGGAAGTTCCGGAATCACTGGGACCCTCCTTTCTCTCCACATTCTGGGCATCTTCCCCAGCACCAGCACCTTCGCCTTCGATGCCAGGAACATTATTGGACACCTGTGTGCTCTGCACTAAGACAGCCTCCTGAGATGGCGAGTAGCTTAGAGAAAGGGTTCCCAGGTTGAGTGATGCCTCGCCGGGCCCAGAGGGTACAACCAGGACTACAGCCTACTCCATCCTCAAGAAAGCCTCTCTCCACTCCTCAGAATCCCCTCTGCCTGTTCCCCCTTTGCTGTCCCTGAATCTAGATCCCATTCTGCAGCCAGAGTTGCCCTGGCCCACCCAGCAGAGTCCCAGGATAGCTCAGGAGGCAAAAAAAAAAAAAAAAGGTGGTGGTGGGGTTATAGTGACATGCAGCATCCCCTCCCTAGATCATAGAAGCTGGTGAATCCCTGAACCTCCTGGAGTGGGTTTATGTTCACTGAACGTTCTGCCCTCCATATTCCCTGCCTTTGGGGACCTGAATTTGTCCAGCTGAAATAGTCTTTAGTGCACTTCTCTTGACCTGGGTTGAACAATGCTTAGGTCTTTGGCCCCTGAGCTCTAGAGGGTGGTCAGCTGGCCCACATTAACCAAGTCCCTGCAGTTCTCCCCTTGCCTGACCCCCCTACTTCCTAGCCTTGCTACCTTCCCAACCATGATTGTTCCTTTTCTGACAGCAGAACAGTAATAACATTCTCAAGCCTGAGTGTGGTTTACCTGAACAGGGTGGGGGAGGGGGTGTTGTAGAAAATTGAGAGCAGGAGAGGGAAGAAAGCCATGAAAGGTTCCCCAGCTCAGCTTGGGCCCAGGGCTGTGAGACCACACTTCATGGAGGAGCATCTTCTCAGCCACAAGAAGACAGTTAAGTCCAAGGCTCACCCCAGCCCACAGACCTTTACCTACCTGCCTCCCAGAGTTCAAGCATGGCCAGCCTACACAGTTCCCCATGTGCACAAAAGAAGCAGGCTTGTCTCAGTCTTTGCCTCTCCCTTTCAGCTCTCCAGTGCCCTTGGCTGGGCTACACACACACACACACACACACACACACACAGAGGCAGGGCCTGCCTCTGGGCAGCCTCTGGACTGTGTTCCCTTGGGTGCCCACACCCCAGTGGCTGCCCTTAAAAACCACTTAGGTAAAAGCTGTATAGCTGCTCCGCACCCTTAACGCCTCTGCAGTTCCTAGTTGATGCTGCCATGGGCTCCATCCTCTCTGGCTACCTCCATTTGTCTGCCTGTCCAGAGGCTGCCTGTCTAACCTGTGACTGACTTCCCTGGCCCCAGCCAAGTACTGCTGTCCTCAGAGACTGTGAGGATGGGTGTGGGCCGTATTTCTACCATATATCCTGGGGCATCATTATGCAGCAACCAAGACCATCTGGACCTGCCAGACCACTGCTTAATGGCCACACTAGAGTAGACGAAGATGCCTGGATGGGAGACCACCAGGCTAGGGATTGGGAAAGGGGCCAGAGTTCCTAAGGCAGGGGGCCAGGGGGTCCGTTACTCTTATTTAGGACAGATTCCATATCAGCCTTGAGCCCTTCCTGGGCTTCTACAGCCTAGGCTCAGCTCCATACACACCCTGTGACCTAAGATGGGACAGGGACAAAACAGGGCCAAAGGAAGGATAATAAGGGACATGTGGTCACAGCCAGGGGCAAGGAATCAAAGATGTGTCAGACACTGCAGTCACAGAGTAGCAAAGGAGTCCCCAAAGGAAAAAGGAAAAAAAGAAGTACTAGAGAAAGTATCAGTAACAAGGCAACATTTTAGGATAACAAAGGATCTGGTTAACAAAGAGAGTGCCTGTGGCTGGCAGAGTAGGTAACAGTGAACAGAATAAAGAACAGCCAAAGACCGGGCCACCATTTCTCAGGGGGTAGCAGGAATAAGTGAGAGGTGACAGAGTAAGTGTGAAGAGCCCAAAGCTACAGACTGAGACACAAAGTGACACACAATTCTCATGGGTGAGTCCTCCCAGGCTTCCTCCTTCTGCCAGTCCAGGAACCTCAGACAGCCAGGAGGCTGTTGAGGAGATGGGTGGCAGAGAGAGGGACAAGCAGAAAGTCACCAACAAAGGCCTGGAGGTGGGGACAGGAAAGTGCCAAGTGTCTCCAAGGATGAGATAGTGGAGAGGGGCCACGAGGCCTTAGGGTGATGACACAGGAAGGGTGGACTTTATTTGCTAGCTCTTTGAGAAGTGGGGTGACCTGGTCCCTAGCCCAACAGCAGGCAGGAAGATCAAGACAGGTCATCAGGGGCCTGGTTCATTCCTCACTCCACCCTAACCCTGCCAACTTGCTAAACGAGGGGTGAGGGTGCTCTGTGGTGACAGGAGAGCTGGTGAGTCCCACCTCTTAGCCTTAGCCTTTGACTCCCTTAGGCTATTAGAGGGCCCCCCTAGGGTGGGAGTGTCCCTTGCACCCCCATTGGGGCAGAGGGCTTTTCTCTAAGCATTGGACCTGCAACGCCTCCTCTCAGGTGGAGGCTGGACATTGGCGAGGGCTCTGAGAGGTGGCGATGAGCAGAAGCCCTGGGAACTCTGGGGGTGGAGCCATGAACCTAAATCCCAGTAATAGCCTAGTGCGTCCCGGACACTGCGGTCTCCCTAATGGGTACTAATGGCCCCATGAGCATCACCACGCCTCGGTCAGGCCCTCCTCCCTCAGATTGCACTGCCTCAGAGACCCAGACGCGTGGAGCGAGAACACAGGATGGGGAGGCAGTAATCGCGCGGCCCCGGAGGGTGAGGCGGCTTCGCTCCGCCCGGCCCCGTCAGGCCCCACCCCTCCACCACGGCCCCTCCCATTGCCCGAGAAGTCCTTACTAGAAGGCTGCCGCCCCCAGCAGCAGCCACGCAGCGCCACCTGTCAAGAAAGTGTGGATTGCGTCGTCCGGGTAGGGGCTGCGCCTAGCCTTGTCCACCTGGGTTAGAGCAGGTCTAGTTCTGCATGGTGGGTATTAGGATGAGGCCAGTGCCCTAGAGCCGGCTATGCAGCAGGGACATAGGGAATGAGTGCCATGGGGAGTGACAGGCAGAGAAGCCTGGCCTCTGCCGAGCTGCTAATTGGTTCTGCCTCTTCACCTTGGACCTGGGCATACACCACTCTGGGCCAGGGTATATCCAGGCAACTTTGCCAAGACTCCCAGCACTTGTGACCGAATATTTGAAGACCACTTGGCACCAGGTACTGGCAAACACTGGGTAAATATCTCTGCGACCCAGGGAAACAGGGATTTGTGTACCTTGGCCAGAGCAACTGGAGGCCCAGGGTTAGAACAGCTTTCAGAGGAGCAATTAACTCAGCTGGGGGCCCTGGAGTCGTCCTTCAGGGTGGGAGCTCTGGATGGTTCAGGAATCTTGCCTAGAGGTTCTGCAGGTGGGAGCAAGAAGAGGTAGGGAAGCAGAAGGAGCCATGAGTCTGGGCACAGGGCCAGCCTTGTGGCCTGGCCAGAGAACATGGGGATGGTGGGGAGCCATGATGGTATTGTGCACTAGCAGTGACAAGGTCAAGAAATGCATGTGTTGTTGGGGTTTTGTTTTTTTCTTCTTCTTTTGGTACTGGGGATCAAACTCAGGACCTTGTGCTTGCAAGGAGGGGTGTGGTACCACTGAGCTAAATCCCTGATCCTTTTTTTTACTTTTTGGGACAGAGTCTCTCTGTGTAGTTCATGAGGGCCTTGAACTTGTGGCAAGCCTCCTGCCTCAGCCTCCCAAGTGCTGAGATTATAGGAAATCACCACCACACCTGGTGATACCATGTTTTGAAAGATCAGGTGTGGTGAGGATTAGGGGCAGGAATGGAGTGAGCTTGGAGGGAGAATGGATTCACCTGAGGGGTTCATGACCTTCCCTTCACGCAGCATAGAACCTCAGAAAGAGCTGGATGAAATCAAGGAAAATAAATTTAGGGGTCCATAGAATTGGGGGATGGAATAAAAAGTAGCAGCCAGGGCCGGAGATTTAGCTCAGTGGTTCCACCACCTGCCTCGAAAGCGCAAGGTCCTGAGTTTGATCCACAGTACCAAAAAAAAAAGTGCCAGCCATACTTGAGGTCCAAGATGTATCCAGGGGTCAGGAGAAACTGTCAAAATGGGGTGACAGACCTGGGACCAGTCCTTCCTGGATGGTCCCAGGGGAGACATGACAACATGGCCAAAGGAGGGCTCCAAGGCCAGATGGCACCAGGGCACAGTGAACCACACAACTTGAGGTCCAGACCCATTGTGGGAGTTAGAGGCCAGACTGATGCTGGTTGAAAGGGAGGGGTGTAGGTCAGTCAGTGATAAAGCTCTTGTCCAGCACGAGGCCCTGGGTCCAATTCCCTTCACCACCACCACCACGGGGTGGGGTGGGGGTGCTGCAACCATGAAGCTGATTGAAAAGGAAGCAGGAGGGTGGAGGGACCCAGGCATTTATGGGGGAGCTGGAGGGGACCCCCAGTGGAGTGAGATCCTTCTCAATTCAAGATGGCAGAGCACATTTATGTTGAGGCTTGCGCCAATGACTAGAAATGCAGAGGCACATAAAAGGTGGAGGGTTCCTTGAGGAGGCATGAAGTGAGGGACCTTCTTCCTTAGAAGCAGTGTTGAGGAATGACCCTGCTGGTTCCTACTAACTCTCCAAAAGCCTTTGGGTGAGGGGAGGGAAAGGGTTTAAGGTTAAAATTGATGCTGGGGGGCCAGGGATTTAGCTCAGTGGTTCTGCTGCCTGCCTCACAAGCACACCTGAGTTCAATCCCTGGTACCAAAAAAAAAAAAGAAAGAAAAAGAAATAAAATTGATGCTGGGAGATGGGCTAAAGCCTGGGTTTGCTGCCTGTGTTGCAAGCAGAGCCCCCAATGCAGATTCACTTTCCCCTATACTTCAGCAGATGGGGAGGGGGGTTGCCTTCCCCCACAGGTGTTGGTAGGGTCGGTCATCAGTCCCTGGGGCCTGGTCTAATGACCCACTCCTGAACAGGAGGGGGGTCACTGGTGGAGGAAGGGACCTAGACTCTAGCAGCGTCTTTGCCTTGCTCCTCCCAATGAGCTCGCAAGGACATAGGCTAGATTGCTGCAGCTCTGTGAGGTGCCCGCCCCCCCCTCCCGTAAAGGAAGGGGCTCTTGACATTTGCCAGGGCGTGGGCGCTTCTATGTGCGCTCTGAAGGTAGATGCAAAGTACACAGCAGAGAGGAAAAGGGTCACACGCGGGGGCGCAGGGATCAGGCTGGTTTTATTGACCAAAACACCAGGCCAGGCCAGAGCCGGGAGCTGCGCACCCTTGTAGGAGCAGCGATCACTCCTGGTTCAAGCGCAAGGCCGACGTGGGCAGTGAATGTTCTCAGGGCGGTCCTGGAGCCAAGCGGAGCTGGCGAAGGCCATTTGCTGCAGGGGCCGTGGCTGGGCCACAGACGAAGACGTCTCTCCAAAGGCTCTAGAAAAAAACAGCAGGACTCTGGGAAGGGGGCCGAGCGCTCCCCTCAGGCTTCAAGGGCAGAGTACTGCCATGGAAAGCCTTTCTCAAAGCCCAGTGGGGGAACACAGCCGCAGCAGGGAGTTGGGGGGTGGGGTGCCAAAGCACATTTCTATCAGATTTCCAAGACCCTCTTGCCTGCTGTCGTCGTGCCTGCTCCCTCCACCCCCACTTACCTGGCAGACACCGCTGAGGTCCAGGACTGGATCCCCAGCCTCGGTTCGAGCTCCGGGGTGCGCGGACTCCGAGGGGCACGGACTCGGAGCTCTGCTCCGAGGCTCCGGCGTCGCGGCTCCCACAGCTCCCCCACCTCCGAGGGAAGCAGGAGGAGGGCGTTGCGGGTTGAGGGCCCAGGAGCCAGGGTGTCCCAGGCGAGGGGACCGGCGGCCGGGCGCAGCGCACGGCGCCACAGGTAGGGCGAGCGGCGCAACCCCATGAGCAGACCGGCGGCGCGGCCCACCGTGTGGTATCGGGGACTCGCCACGTGCTTGTACCAGGCGCCCGCGGGTGGCAGCAGCAGCAGCAGCAGAAACAGCAGCACCCCGAGAAGCCGCCGGCCCCCAGGAGACCCCTGCCCAGGGCCCCGCACCACCTGGCTCCGCGCCAGGGTGCTCACGTCCACGGCCCCCCGGCGGGGCGGGCCAGCTACTAGTTCCGTGGGATCTGTGTGCGCGGCGGCGGCGGACCTGATCTGGTCGTCCGTGAGCCGGCACAGGATCGAGCCCAGTAGTTGGTCTTCCGCGGGTCGGACTATAACCGCTTGCTCGGTGGCCCCGCCCTGGCCCGCCCCCACAGTACCTACTGGGCTAGGGGTGGGGGCTGCTAGGAGAATCTAGCTGAACAGCGGCTGGCTAGAACAGCTCTCGACGCCCCGTTGGGACCGTCCCTGCTTCCCCTGCTTCCTTCCCCTCCCCCAGTGGAGCTGCCAGGGAAGGAATCCTGGGACCACTGGCCTCAGGGCACAGGGTAGGGGGAGGGGCTTGGGGCCTAGGGATGTCCCCTTGTCCTAAGGTCCTGCAAGTGGGGGACCAGCAGAGCCAAGAGGAGGAGGCTGGCTCAGTTCCAATGGGGTAACACAGACGGTTTAATTGGATCCCTGGACACCATTCAAGACCCCTCCGTGTGGCTCATCCCCAAGAGCTGTCCAATCAACCGATTTCTCAGCTGTAGCAGGATGGATGCTAGGAAACCTCAAGTTTGGCCACCTCAAGCACTCCCTGAAGGGGTCAGCGGTTCCCCCAAGGCCTGTAAGATAGAGGCAGCCCCCCAAAAAGAGACAACCAATTCTGCACCCTCAGCCCCTACCCAGCAGGATGGGGCCCTGACAACCCCCTAAGTACCTCCTTTTTGATCATGGATCCCGGCAAGACTGCTTTGCCAGTCAGTCTCATTCATTTTGGTCTTAACCAACAACCTGTGATTTGCCCACTTCTGTGCTGAGAACATCTTTCCTTTTCCTCTACTTGGCAAATCCCATCCTTCAGGACTCCACTAAAATGGCCCCAGTCTGAATAGACCCTCCAAGCATTTCTCCAGGACCACCTCGGTTTAATATTACCCTACCAGTGAACCTGACCTAATGCAGTCTTTCCTGATGCCCCCCAGCCCAGGGTGAATCCAACCCTCAAGATAATCCAGCCCCCTCCCTCAGCAATCAGGCTGTTCTTGGAGCAGCTTTAGGTTCCAGGACAGGGATCTTTTGGGGGATCATTTTTAAAATGCCTTTTAAAAAAATTTAACACATCTTATTTTATGCAGATAGCAGATATTCTGATCAAATATGGTTCAAGAACACTGAAATAATAAATCAAATATAATCAGATGTTAAAGATTTTTTTTGTTTGTTTGAGACAGGGTCTCACTATGTAGTTCAGTTCAGACTGGCCTTGAACTCATTATGTAGCCAAGGCTGGCCTTGCACAAACTCACAATGCTCTTACCTCAGCCTCCCAGGTGCTGGGATTACAGGCATGGGCCACCATGCCTAGCATTTAAAGATTTGTTTTGTTTTGTTGAGACAGTGTTTCATTATGCAGTCCAGGCTGGCCCTGAACTCTCTATGTAGCCTAAGCTGGCCTTGAACGAACTCATGGCGAATCCTGTGCTGGGACTACAGGCATTTGACATCATGATTGACATACAGGCATTTGACATCAAGATTGGTTTTTGCAGAAGCTTTTTTTTTTTCTTGGTACCGGGAATCAAACTCGGGACCTTGCTCTTGGGAGGCACGCAGTGGAACCACGATGCCATGCTTGCCTATGATCTCTCCAATATAAAACCACATCCAGGCCGGGGATTTAGCTCAGTGGTTCCGGTGCCTGCCTCACAAGTGCAAGATACCGAGTTCGATCCCCGGTACCAAAAAAATAAAATAAAATAAAAAAAACCCACATCCACACTTCGGTGGCCAGCAAACCATTTAGTATAGCTTCCTTAACTGTGAGTTACTTGAAGCTACTAGTTTGGGCACTATTGACTATTTTCTTCAGGCCCTGAATAGCTTTAGTGACTTCACCAGGGGTTGGAGGAATCAGCTCAACCTTGGCATAGTACCGAAATGTGGCCAATCTTGCCTTTACCAGTGCTGGGACCTTCTCTACAAGGTTATAAAGTGGGCCATGGTTCTAGGATGGAAAGGCCATTGCACAGAATAGCTGGCTGAACGTCTCTGAAATGTCTTATTTTGAACTTCAAACAATGCCACGGGGTGGGGGTGGGGAATAATAAGCATTGATCAAAATCATAAGAATGGATTATCTGTAGGAAAAACAGTGGGGTGAGGTTCAACCAGATCCCTAGTAGAAAGCCTCAGCTTGGGAGAATGAGGCATGCCTGTCTCCAGGGGCACAGAGGGTGGAGGGGACAGAGGAAGGGACCTGCTCTTGGAGCAGGAGGGCCATGGAGTGGCCTGGCAAGCCCCTGGAGAAGTTTACAACCAGCAGCAGGCACCTCTTGAACACCAGGCAGAACCTGTGAGAATCTGGCCCTGAAGTCTGGTGGCTGGATTCAAATCTGTCTCAGGCTTGATTGTGTGTGTGTGTGTAGGGGATAAGGTGACACAACCTCTCCTGCCTCAGTTTCCTCCTTTGAAACTGGGGATAGTGAGTGGCTACCTTATCATCTTGTTGCATTAATAATCCAGTTGTGGGGCTTGGGACACGGTAAGTGCTCAATAAATGCTTGTAGCTAGGACTTATTGTAGCTGTTGTGGAGGTTGACCAACCCCAAACTGTCAGGAAAAACACTCAGATGGGTTGCAAGCAGAGAGCTGCCTGCCAGCATGGATCCTGGAGGACTGCTGGGACTGGGCCACCAAGAGCTGCCCCCACAGTGCTCCCCCGAGGCCCTGAGGCCTTGAAAGCCACCTGGAGTGTGTGGTGGGCTGGTGGTACAGGCCAGAGCCAGGCTGCCAGAGTTCTCTAGTGCTGTTGCCTACTCTGGATTAAGGAGTCCCAGCAGATTAGAGTCCAGCTGGAGAGGATCTCATGTGTCTCTTGGAGCTGGCCTGGGGAATACAAAACAATATAAAAACAATTATTTCTGCTAGGATGGAAGTCCACTGACAATTGGAAAATGAAGTAGAGCATGGACAAATTTCAAAAATATAGTGATTCACAAAGGGAGAAGCTACCACTTCGTGAGGCTTAAATAACATCAACAGGTTCCCCCATCTTGTTTATGCCTATGTGGCCTGAGGGAGTGAAGATATCAGGGTACAGGGGAAGTGTAGAGGCTGCATGGGCACAGAGGAAGGGGGTGCTCATCAACTCCGGGTGTGGAAAGGCAGGGGTGGGCCAGGAGAACAAAGCATAGGATCATGGCCCCGGGTTGAGATGCAGAGGAAGGGCTTTGTAGCCTGCCTTATCTGGAGCCCAGGGTGCCTGGTGACAAAGCCTTAGGGATCTAGAGCCAAAGCTCCACAGGGACAAATACTAGACTCCAATGAAGGGCCTAGTAATCCATGGAAGCTGACCATCCTTCCTGGGGCTCATCTCTCACTTTCCCCCCAACAGCTCCTCTAAGAAACTGATTGGTCATGGCTAGGACTTTGAACAGACCCTGGCCCTGAACAGGATCTGTGTAGTAAGCATGCAATAAATGAGTAAATCTCTCTTGTCAGTTTTTGTTATTTATTTTGGTGGCACTGAGGATTGAATGTAGGGCTTGTGCATGCTAGGCAAACACTCTACCACTAAACTACATCCCCACCCCCTTTATTTTTTAATTTTTAATTTTTTTGGTGCCAGGGATCAAACTCAGGACCTTGTGCTTGTAAGGGAAATGCAGTGCCACTGAGCTAAATTCTCAGCCTTTATTTTTAAATTTTAAAACAAGGTCTCACTAATTTGCTCAGACTGACTTGAACTTGTGATTCTCCTGCCTCAGCCTCCAGAGTACCTAGGATTACAGGCATATACCATCACACCTGTTTTAAATTATTCTTATCTAGGTAATACTCATTGTAAATCTAATGCTACTGTACAGAGGGAAAGCTGTCTCTGTGCCAGCCTTTCACATTTCAGTCTTTCTCTCAAGAGGACACTAAAAAAAAAGAGGACCCTGATTCCAACACTTCTGTCTATTCTAGTACTTATTTCCTTATTTTCAAATCATAAACTTTATTTTTTTTTTTGGTACTGGGAATTGAACTCGGGTCCTTAGCTTTCGAGGCAGGCAGTGGAACCACTGAGCTAAATCCCCGGCCCAAACTTTTTTTTTTCAAGTTCGCACATCATCGTACTATTTATTGACGTAGAAAGAACTTGAAATTTTTCACTTCAAAGCGTCAGTCTGGTGAACTGAAATCATAGATCATAACATGCTGCTTTTTACTTCCTAAGTCATGATTTACCCCAGTTATAAATTAGGGTCATTACATTAAAACTCTCCAAAAGTGAACTGTATTAGTCATGTGCTTTACAGAAACCAGCTTCTTTACAGTCTTCACAGACTGTGACCTGACTAGCCCAGCAAAGAGAATCTCCCTTCAAAGATACTTTTAGGAAAATTTTGTTTCTCTTTTAAAAATAGGCAAAACTGTAAAACATACAGGAAACCCAAGTATGTAGTAGAAATTGCTTATTCAGAGATATACCTGCTCATACCAAACTTTCCTAGGAAAAGGGAAAATGTATCCATTACAATTGAGTCAACATACAATTTCTTTTCTTTTTTTTTTTTTGGTACTGGGGATCAAACTCAGATCCTTCTGCTTGCAAGGCAGGCAGCAGAACCACTGAGCTAAATTCCCGGTCACAATTTATTTTCTTATGGTAACAGATTTTCAAATTGAGCTTTCAAAAAGTACATTTAACTACAAAAGTAAGATTAAATAAGTACTTATAAAATACATTTACCTTGAAATGGTTATGTATATAAAGTGTTGATGCCCATGTCAACAGTACATTATACATTACACACATCAAATCATAAACTTAAATTTTTTTTTAAATGATGCCCCAAGGAGGCCTAAGGATGTGTATATCTTAACATTTACATGTTACATATGTGCACACTTGTGTGCTCAAAGCCCAGAACAAGATAGAAAAGATTCCCATTTCTCATTGCCACCTCTGGCTAGAACCCAGCATAACTCATTTACCACCTTAGATAAAAAAACCCTTGGGCCAGGCATGTAGTTCAGTGGCACAGCGCCTGCCTGGAAAACACAAGGTCCTGAGTTCGATCCCTAGTACCAAAAACCTCAACTTGGGCCGGGGATTTTGCTCAGTGGTTCCAGCGCCTGCCTCACAAGCGCAAAGTCCCAAGTTCGATCTCCAGTACCAAAAAAAAAAGTCAAAGGCCTGGAGCTCCCTGCAGATTTCTGTTCAAGAGCGGTATTGGGAAACTGAAGGGTCTGTGTTGGAAAGCTGAAGAATATGTCCTGGAAGGCTGAAGAGTCTGCATTGGAAGCCTGGAGATAGATATCCAAAGGTGATAAAAACTGGAGCTCCTCTGAAGAAGCAAAAGTGAGATTTCCTTCTTCTTTCCCATTTTTATTCCATCTAGGCTACAAGCTTATTGGTTGGTGCCACCCCCATAAAGAGTGGGTCTTCCCCCTTCAGTAAGTCAATCATCCAGAACTGTATTAAACTAATCTGCAAGACATTTCTTATTCAAGTTGAGTCCATGATTAACTATCACAGGGTCTTTCCTGGCACTTCAGAATGTTTTGTAGCATCCCTAGCTCCCGTCCATGTGTGTAGGCAGAATGACACCTCCCATCACAGTGTTCACTCTCTAATCCCTGCAACTGTGAATATTTCTGCAGCATGGAAAGGGGAACCGAGGCTGCAAATAACAGTGCTTTGCAGGTGTGGTGGCACATGCCTGTAATCCCAGCACTTGGAAG